AGACACACAGCAGTGTTGTGTTACTGTTGTTGCAGTGTGTGGCGGCGAGCGCGGCCTAAAATAGCCGCTCAGCTGTGCAGACGCTCGCTCTGGTCTGGACTTGAAGTGATCAGTATGATCACTATGACCGTTGGATGGACGGCTGCTGATCCGACGTGGGTCCGAAGCTCGAAGTGCTTTTTAATCCTCATTTCTACCTGGATTAAATGAACGGCTGTGGTTTCTTCCACAGAGATTTCTCTTTTTTTCTTTCTTTCTATCTTTTTTTTTTCCAAATGTTCAGTGGGGAACAATGTCGTTCATTTTAAAGCGGTGTCGTTTTTCTGTGAACTTGACCAGGATAATCCCCGGCCCGGCGTGGACATTGGTGGATTGAAGAGCAGGTGAAGATGTCCCAGAAGGCAACAGGAAAAAGTAAGAGTTTAAGCCGCGGCAGATGATGATGTTTCACCGGTGGTGGAAACATGTCATGTGTTTTTCATCAACGACTCTGTGACATCACAGCCAGGAAGTCCTCACATGGTTTCTTTTACAGAACAGAAATATTCTGTTTACTTTTCCACTTTTGTACAGGAGTGAAGAAACCAGAACATTTGACATTCATGATGCTAAAAAAACAAACAAAAACAAAAAAGACGACGATTAATCACAATTGATTACAATGTTGTTGAATCGTTGCTTAGCAACAGCTAACCTGTCATTAATCAGATGAAAAGAACCTCATCATGTTTCTCTTGTAGTACCATGTAGTACTGACTGTAGTGTGTGACTGAAGTTGTTTGAGTATTCCAGGGAGGAAACAATCCTGCATGTGTTTTTCATCTGTGAATTCTGTGGATTGTAATGATTCTGCTTTTTGTTTTGTTTGTTTTCTTCTTCTGTGGTTGTTGTTGTTGTTGTTGTTGACTTCAGTATGGTGCATCAGGCTGGGTCTCATCGTCTTCACCTATGTCACCTGCTACTGTTCCTACAGCGTATTTCAGAGGTACACACACACACACACACACTTCACTCATTTTTTGTTTTTGTCTCTTTATCCTTTTTTCTAACTTTTTGTTTTGTGTAACTTCCTTCTTTCTTTCATTATGTAATTCATACTTTTTTAAAGATTTTCTTCTCTTTCAATGTTAATTTCTGTCTTTCTCTTTTCATTCTGTCACCTTCAGTTTACTTTCAAACTTTTCCTTGTTTCTTCCTTTTTTTTTCTTCTTCCCTTCCGTCATCGTTCTCTCTCCCTTCGTCTCTTTGCCCACGTTGACCCTCCTTCCTC